GTCCGGTCTGGTGTTAGCTGTGCTGCGTTTATTTTTATTTGTGGTTTTGTTTGTGCTTTTTTTTCTTTTAAAGCATGCAAAATCTGGTTGTCAGGAAATCTACCTTTAGCGTCGTGGTCGCTGTAAACTTCATTCGCACAGAAGGCCTTGTATTTCTGTGCACTTCTTATAAGCATTATGCAAATTGCACGCCAGGTTCCCCGTAACAATGCAGAGCTGTGCTTTGATAGGGGAAACAAGTCTCAGTTTCCTTTAGGCAGGTGAAGAAAATTGTTCCCAGCCATAGCAGAACTGTGGCTCTTTTCTAGATGTAGTCTGATTCACACCCATGCAACCTGCAGGGTTGAAACCTGCCGTTCTTGCTTTGGCGAAACTCCTGTTGATTTCACTGGGAGTGGTAAGGACTCCTGTTGCAGTGGGGTTGCATGGTTCTAAAAAGACAGGCTGGCTTGAGAGTGGTACGTTGTCAAGTGAATTCCCCGAACCTAGCCGTGAGAGGTAAGATCCCATGAAAGATTCTGGGCTTCTTTATTTTAACAGTAAAAAACTTCCCCAAAGCAAGTCACCCCCCTATCCCACAGCCTTCTCTTGCATGCTGGATAGTCTGGCTCTTTGTTAGAACACTGCACGCCATATGATGCTGCGTCTGGGTGAGCTTTGAAGCCTTCTATTTCTTTCCAGGCAAAGCGGGTATTGCCAATGGAGGGAGCTTGAATGAAGTCACTGACATGGACTGCAGTCCTTCTGCCATAGACGACCTAATAAAAGAGGTAATTAACTGCTGAAGTGAAGAGATCTCTTTGATTGGAAGGGCTAGAGATGGTACATTGATCCATGAAATTGTGCATCTCATTTTTCTAATGATCAGCCCCTATGCCCAGGGGAACTATATTTAGATATCACTGGTGCAAGAACAACAAATCTGCACGTTTCACAGATGTTAGTATCATTCATTCATGTAACACAATGCACAGATCTGCGGTAGTGGCTTGTCCTATCAATTCATCTTGGGTTGACAAACAGTCAGTAGGTTTCACCAGAGGGTCAATTTTGCAGCTTTTCTTTTCCCTTTATTGCAATGGAAAATTGTTGGGCAGAATTCTGCTCTCAGTGTGCCCATGAAATCCATGGCCCACTCTTTGGTGAACTCTTCTGCTTTGCCACTGGTTCAAATGTCAGTGTCTCCGCTGCTCTCGCTTTGGTTTGTTTTTTTTTTTTAATCGTGTTCAGGGGCAAGTGAGGCATTTAGAGAACAATTTGTCGCAGCAGGATATTGGTTGCCATTGATATGATGTGGTTTGCCAGAAATGGCAAAATTGCTTGTCCTCTGTTTTGTTGCCTGGATGATTGAATTGAATTTCTGTCTTCCTCAGTCCCCCTGTGTTGATGAATATCTTGGTATAATAAAGAGAAGCCCTTCTCCACCTCAGGAGAATTGTAGAAACCCTCCAATACCAGATTGGTGGATGCAGCAACCAAGCTCCGGTAAGAAACTAATAACATATTGAGTCTGTAACTTTAAAAACAATGAGTAGTCCTGTTAGCTTTCATGGGCAAAACCCGCTTCTTCAGATGATTTGAGTGGAGAAAAAAGGGGGATTTTCAGCATTTATAACAGAAAAAGAAGGGGGGGGGGGAATACCTGTCAGCTGTAGTGCCAGTGATCATGAGGCTAACTGAGTGGGCTGGAGGTGTCTCATACTTAGCTTTTTGATGTCCGTGAGACGTTAAATGTACGGAAGGCTGGTTCTATAATGGGACATCCAATTAATGTCTTTGTTCAGGCCCAGGGAAACGGTGTCAAATTTGCATAGGAAGCTCAATTCCACCCCATTCCCCCCCTCTTCCCCCCCCCCCCCCTTTCTTTTTCATTTATAAATGCTCGGAGTCCCCCTTTTTTTCTTAACTCAAGCTCATCTGAGGAAGTGGGTTTTGCCCACAAAAGCTCCTGATACTATATTTTAGTCTCTCATGTGCCACAGGACTACTTGCTGTTTTTAACAGATCCAGGACTTATAGAACAGTGTCTAGTTTGATTGGGTAACCCCTCAAAGATACATGCAGGAGAGCAAAAACTAATTCTGGGGATCTTTGAATAGCTCCCTGTATATTTGATGCTTGTGGAGGATTTTTTTGTTTTTGTTTGAGGAACAAGTTTATGAAGAAGGCCTGAAATACCATCCTACATCCACTGTGAATCTTTTGGTGAATGATCTTGGTGGTGGCATGTGTCCATAGTTTCTCAGAGGGTTCTGTCTGTCTCTGCATATGTACCGAAGCCGCAGAGCTACAGAATAAGGTTCATGTCCTCCTCGCAATGACAGTGGCTGACCGTAGCGAGATTTGGCCTAGAGACCGTACAGGATCCCATGTTGGGAATCCTCGCTCTGTCCCTGCTTGTCTGTCTGAGGGAGAGTAGCCCCTGAAGTGGGGCAGAGGAAGAATTTCATGGTTGTGAGGAAACGGCGTTGCAGCAAAACAAGCAGGCCATTGCATCGTTGGAGTTTACCAGAGATCCAGGTGCTTGTGTTGGAGCTTTGCACAAAAATATAACTCTCTCTTCTCCTGCAGCTGCTGTGCCCCTGATGAATGCGTTTTCTGGCTACGAACAGCTGCATTCAGGTACTGGAAATCCCATTCCATTGCATGCTTCTGTGCTTAGAGACATGCCGTGCTTTCAGTCGGGCTTGGGGAAGCGGCCGCTCATGTGGCAGGTCCAGGCAGTGCCTGGCTTCGCTGCTGCTGTGGATCTGCTCATGTTTATACAGAGAAAATAATCCTTAAAAATGGCAGAGCTGTCGAAAAGGGCCGCTTAGGGCTTAATTGCTCGGGCATGCTCTAACTTCATACGCCACTGTTCCATTCTCAGCACCCAGGCGATGGGTTGTAGGCTTCTAAGCAGTTGCCAAGATCCATGTGTCAGGGCAGTGGCCTGATCCTGCCTGATAAGATGCCTTTGCACTGTTCCAGCAATACGTAATGTTGGCTTAAGGAGACAGCTGGGGATTCCCTGGCGGTAGGGTAGGGAAGTCCCCGTGTGGCACGAGGCCACCATAGCCGGCTCGGTGCCAGCCCCCCCAGCCCTCTCCGAGTGCCAAAAGCTGGGCCAGAGTGCTCTAGGCTCTGTGATGTCAGGAGAGGCACCGTGTAGCGAAGCCTCTAACTCCTGCTGGGGACCAAACTGACCCCTGGGTGCCTCCTTCATTGGGGTCGAGGCGCATAAAGGCTTCATGAAGCCTCCTTTGCGGTCCTTGGCTTGGCAAGACGTAGCAGGTAGCGGAGATAACGAACAGGAGTGAGTGGAAGGGCAACATTGGCACAGGTGCAAACACTTTGCGGTCCTTGGCTTGGCAAGACGTAGCAGGTAGCGGAGTAATGAACAGGAGTGAGTGGAAGGACAACGTTGGCACAGGTGCAAACACTAACGGCGATAGCGAAGCACCCAAGGGACAAAGTCTAACAAAAACCGTAAGGGCAGCGAGTTTGTTGGTGGAAGGATCCCGCTCACCCACTTGGCAGCGTAAAATGGCTGTCCTCGGCGGAAGCTTCTTCACCAAGGGCAGGTGCAGCGGGCTACGTGGACCGAGGCTGTGCCAGGGTGATTGTTCCCAGGCTAATGACATTTGGAGTGGGAGGAGAGTTTCCAAGGGGCAGTTGATAAAGCGGGTGCTCCTGCATCTGAGCATTTACTGAGCCTGCCGTTGGCTTCAATGGGGCTGAGAGTGGGGTGAGGAAATACTCAAGATTAGGAAGGGTATTGGGATATTGCCTCTGGGCAGCTGCTGCACAAAGTACGCAGCCATGAATTTCTCCAGTTCCCAGGGAGACAGGCCCTGGTGCATGCGATCAAGGCCGACCATGCTGCTGTGTGTAATCCCATTTGCAAACCGTTCAGCTGGCCAGTTCTGCCTAAATAAAACCAAGGGGTATCTGGTAAAGCTGGGGAGGTAAATCTAACGGGGTAGCCTTGTCAGCTGCAGAGAGACAGGTGGCGCTCAGGAGGATAAAATGTTGCGTGCTAGAGAGCATGCAGCAACTGCCAAATATAAATGTCTCCCCTCCCCCAGTGTTCCCTGTAAGCTGGGCGCTCAAGAGGGATTCCAGTGCTGCCCAGCTGATTAGTAGAGTGCCCACAGCTGGGTTTTTGGGTCTACTGGTGGGGCACATTTGCACATGCCCCAGTGTATGTGGAAAAATGTATCCTGCACATGGATGGAATAGGGATGTTAAGTTGTGATTAATTAACTAATCAGGTAGTCGATGGAATTTCCATCGACTAATCGATAAGGGGGAGGGCACTCGCTACTCCTGCTGCGGCTCTGCAGTTTAGAAGTAGTAGAAGCCGGATGCGCAGGCAGCCCGGTTCTTACTACATTACAGCGGGGTTACTGCTGCGGCTCTGCCTCTCCTCCCTGACCCCGCAGAGATGGTGGCTGGCTCCCCCCAGCACTGGCTCCTGCTCCTGGTGTGGGGGGGGGGGGAAGCAAGTAGTCAGCTAGTAGACGACTCCCGTACATCCCTAGGCTGGGAAAGGCTAGAGAACATTGGTTCCCAGGGACAAGTCTGAGATTGTGGGGGAAGAAAGGGACTCCTTCCTCACAGGATTGGTCCCATTACAGACCATACTTGCTGAGTGAGGTCTCCTCGTGGGAGCCGGAGCAGCCCTGGTCCTACAGGCTCTGGCCTCAGAGAACAGTGGTGCTGACTTAGCACTTGCGGCTCTGCCGCTAGACTCAGCATTTCAAGGGCTTCAGCGGAGCTTTGCTCTCTTGTGCAATGGGGCGGCTTTTCCCACAGCACGGGGGGAGGGAGGGGGGAGCGTGGAAGGGGCGCGCTGCACCCTCTGATTGGCCGGCCTGTCTCCCTGCAGCCTACTCACAGATGGTGATCAGTTTCTATTACGGAGGGAAGCTGGTGGGCCAAACGACGACCTCTTACCACGAAGGCTGCCGCATTTCTATAAGCCACCCCCCCACCCACGGCGACAAGCTGTATGGCCCCGATAGCCTGGAGCACGTGCGGTTCCCTTCCACCGACACCATCCAGAACGACCGCCAGAAGCAGGTCACCAAGAAGCTCTTCGGGCACCTGGACCGGGGGGTTCTGCTGCACAGCAACAAGCAGGGCATTTTCATCAAGAGGCTGTGCCAGGGGAGAGTCTTCTGGAGCGGGAACAACGTGCTGTACAAGGACAGGCCCAACAAGCTGGACCGGGAGGAGGTGGTCAAAATATTCGACTCCAGCCAGTTTGCCCGAGGTTTGTGGAACGTTCCCACCTCTCTTCAGCCACCCTTTTCTGGGACCCTCTCCCCCCATTGTCCTCTGAGCACTGTACATGGGCAGAGTCATGTTGCTTTTGGGTGGTGACTTCAATTTCCTGTAGCGCTGGTAGGGGTCAGATCCTCTGCGGGTGTCAATCTGCTGCTGTTTTTAAGGCCCTTACGTGGCTTCCTGTTCCCATTGTGCTTCAGCTCCTTGCAGTCTTGAACATATTTATGTTCATTGCACCCAGGTGAAGTGAGGCAGCAGGGAACTGAGTCACGGAGAAGCTAAGTGACACACCCAAGGTCACACAGGACATCTGTGGCAGAGCAGAGAATTCCACCCAAGTTTCCTAAGTCCCATAATAGTAGCCTAGCTGATTTTGGGACCCTCTGCTGATTTATGCCAGATCAGGATCTGGCCCAGAATGTCTAGTGATCAGCCCCAAAGTGCTGATGTGGTCTGTCTGTCCTTGCCAAAGTTTGTAAAAATAAACACAGCCACAGAAAATGCTGTGGCTTCTTTCTTAGGAGCTGTGGTGCTTGGAGATATTCTATAAAAACTAAGGATGTTAAGAAGAGGGTAATGCGCTAATTGGCAAAAATGATGCTGGGGGGAAACTGGCTTTTAAACCAGCTCCCCCCAGGACCAGCTCTGGCTTCCCCCCTCCCCCACTTGGGGGGGGGGGGGGAGGGGAGTGAGTGGTTGAGTAGTCACTTGACTGGTCGCTTACATCCCTAATAAAAACCCCACTGCAGTGTTTTACAGCAAGCGAGGGTATAATCAATAACTTCAAAATCTAACGAGCCCAAAATAACATTCCTAAAAGCACTGCATGAGACACTGAATCTGTTCATAAGCTTTATTGCAAGGCCAATTTGTTCCCCTCAGGGGACAAGGAATAACTGTGGACTTCCCTGAGGTGGGAAGATAGGACCGTTAATCCTTCCTCCTTCCTTAGGGCCCCCCTGAAACCCTCAGGGGCCACAAACAGGTTCCCAGGGGTCCACTAGGCAGTGCTTGCTTTAGACAAGGGATGGGGAACCTTTTTGGGGTTGGGGGTCACTGACCCACAGAAAAATCAGTTGGGGGCCACTCACAAGTGAGAAGCAACCAAACTCTCACTAACATGGCCCTGAAGTGGGGGGAGGGGGAGACCCCGAGCTTTAGGGGCTAGATCTAGGCAAGCTGGGGGCCACATCTGGTTCCCCACCCCTGCTTTAGATACTATGAAGCCCTAGCCTGCTGTGAGAGGATGAAGCCAACACCTAAGCAAGTTAGCTTTTCAGGATATCCTGTGGCATGGGGCCCTGGGCAGCTCCGCTGCTCGCTACCCTCTGAAACTGGCCCAGGCTTTTACATGCACAAACCCAGTTGTGGCACACATGGGCCCAGGACGGGGACCAAAGGCTGAGCCCTACTACCTGCAATAGGGGTGTAGCTCAAGCCCCACTTCTGAGTGGGGGAGGGGAGCTGATGCTTAAGGACTTCAGCCCCAGGCAGGGGCTCTGCAACCTGAGCCCTGCCGTCCAGGGTGAACCCCATGTGGTTTGGCCACACCCCTGGGCGGAGCGGCTCAGACTGCAGCCCCGGAACCCAGCAAATCTAAGTCAGCCCCAGCGATCCCATTGAAATGCAGTGACCACCAGAGTTCCCTGTAATCTGGGTGCTTGGATGGCCACCCAGGAGATTCAGGTGCTGCCCAGTTGATCAGCAGAGCGCCCACAGCCGGCAGCCTGTGTTTCTATTGGTGGTGCACATCGGCACGTCTCAGTGCACAAAATAAATTTATTCTGCACATGGATGGAAAAAAAAATTAGAGGGAACACTGGTTGCGACCCGCTTTGGGATGCTGCCCCACAGTTTGAGAAGCGCTGTTGGATGTGCTTGTTATAGACTCCGAAGCAGAAGGCTCTGAGCCCAGGCTGTCAAGTCTCCAGTCGAATTGGCTACTGAAGCAGTCCAGCTGGTACCGTAGCCTGACAGGATCCATCCCTTCCTCCCCGTCACTTGTACAGACAGATCTTGAACGAGAATTTCCTGCAATGAGATTTTTAAAGCCCCTCTAATTTTCTCTCTCAATACAAGCTAGCTACCTTGGGCGGAACGTGCGTGCAGCATTGTCTGCAGGCACTCGTGTGGATTGGCGTACAACACCTGCTGCAGAGGTGTGTGTACGCAGTCCGCCCCGCAGGTGAATACGCTCCCCGCGAGCTGTGTGCTAAGGTCTCGCTGCAGTTGGTTGTGTCCGTCCTTTCCAACCCTCTTGTGTTTCTCCTGTTTTAGAGCTGCACCAGTTCTACAGTAACCAAGGCCGTTTCCCCGAGAGCAAAGTCCTGCTGTGCTTTGGTGAAGAGTTTCCTGACACACTCCCTTTACGCTGTAAATTAATCCTCGTACAGGTGAGGCACATTCTCAAGGAATAGCCGTCGCTCGAGCTCCTTCTTCGTTCTCCCGCAATTCCAACACGTCCCCAAGACTATCCGGTGTCTGTCTCTTAACGTTCAGAATCGGATGGTTCCAACCACCGAAGCACTGGGCAGCATGCAATAACTAGTTTACATCACCTGCACGTGTCAAACGAGTATTTGCTTGCACAAATCAGCCGTTAGACATCCAGCAGCCCCTTAATTTTCTTCATTTGCACACACCAATCCCCAAATGGCCCATGTAATCTCATTAATGAGCAAATGAAGCACCAAACTGCACAGACTCTGTCTGGTTTAAAAATCTGGCCCTAAATTAGGAGGAGATGTATTTCCCTCCCTTCTCTGTGTCCTGCCCCTCTCCCCCTTTGTATTTAGCAAGAGGCTTAACTATGCTAGGGATCATGCTCTTGAGCCTGGTGACCTTTTTCTAACCTCCCACTCCTCCTTTCCAGGCAACTGTCAAATAAATCATTTGCAATTGGTTGTGTGGTTACCAGCAGGATTAGAATTTATGCTGAGAAGCAAGCACAGGGGTAAATGAACTGGAGTGCAGTGGAGAGTTTGCATGTAAAATCTGACAGCACAAAGAATAGGGAAGAAGTAGTAGGAAAAACTCCGATTTGGAAGGGCTGGGTGTAGGGACTTATGGGGCAGGCTGCAGGTCAGGCAGGGCACTTGAGAGGAGAGGAAGAGCCCCAGCTAGGGGGTGCAAATTTAAATGGCTCTCTGCTGCCCTTTCCAGATTAGAACCCTGGAGTGCGAGGCACTAGAGATATAGACAGCCATTCCCCATTAACTTGGGGAAAGAGGGGGGTCAAATGAGGCAACTTGCTCAAAGCCACACAGGAACTGAATCCGAGACCAGTATCTTAAGCACAAGACTGTACTTCCCGGCTGTGTCTACACTGGCATGAATTTCCGGAAATGCTTAAAACAGAATAGTTTTCGTTATAAGTATTTCCGGAAAAAGAGCATCTACATTGGCAGGCTGCTTTTCCGGAAAAGCCCTTTTTCCGGAAAAGCATCTGTGGCCAATGTAGACGCGCTTTTCCGGAAAAGAGCCCCGATTGTCATTTTCGCGATCAGGGCTTTTTTCCGGAAAAGACTACTGGGCTGTCTACACTGGCCCTTTTCCAGAACAGTGTTCCGGAATAAGGACTTATGCCCGAGCAGGAGCAGAATAGTTTTTCCGGAATAGTGGCTGATTTTGTACAGTAGAGCATCGTTGCTTTTCCGGAAATTCAAGTGTAGACAGCTCGCAGCTTATTCCGGAAAAGCGGCTGATTTTCCGGAATAAGTGGCCCAGTGTAGACACAGCCCCCCTCTT